GAGTGCTAGGATTACAGGCGTGAGCCACCACGCCCTGCCTGAAAACTTTTTTTTAAGGTGTATCTCTTAGGCATCTAATAAGTAAGCAAAGTACTGACGTTGGTGGATAATCTTACAAGAGAAAGCAGGTAGATTTCATAACAGAATAATAGTTTATTGTGTTATTTAGCTTCTCCCAAAAGACTTGGAAATTTCTATTTTCAAATACATTAAACATAGTATAAAAACTGTACTGAAAAAGTATTGTACTGTTCAGTATTACTCTATTACTAATCCTATAAGTCAATAATCTTTCATGTTTGGCCTTGCCAAAGGGAAAATTACAGTAAGCAAACAAAAAAATAAATAAAGATCACAGAAAACAAACATTTTTCCAGTTTGAATGTTTAAGAAAAGAAAGGGAAACATAACAGTAATACTAGAAGGATGAAAAAAAAGAACTGTCAGCTGCAGTGGCTCATGCCTTTAATCCTAGCTACGTGCAAGGCTGAGGCAGGAGGATGGCTTGGGCCCAGGAATTGGAGTCCAGCCTGGGCAATACAGTGAGATCCCTGTGGAAAGGAGAGGAGAGGAGAGGAGAGGAGGGGAGAGGAGGGGAGGGGAGGGGAGAGGAGAGGAGAGGAAAAGAAGGAAGGAAGGAAGGAAGGAAGGAAAGAAAGAAGAGAACTTACTCGCAATTACCAAGCGTGGACAATGATGCATCCATCTTCTCTATAGGGGGAATCTGGGCATAAAGCTTTATTTCTTTGGCTTCAGATGGCCTCTGACCAGTTTTCTCTTCCTATGAGAAAAATTAATTTTGAAGAAAATGATTGATCCCTGATTGTAATGTGGAACCAAAACAGGTCAGAATTTCCCAGGCTTTTCAATGTTTATTTCAAAAAAATTATTAGAATTTAATAAACTGTTTAATAATTCTTTACCATTCACTTATTGTAAACATTTACTTACAACCCTGATCACCAGGTTTCTACATGGCTGAATAAGAGAACTGTTAGGTCCCTACCAAATGGAAATGAGAAAAGAACTTAACTTTTATTTTTGTAATACTTAAAATCCTCAAAGATTGTTAATCCTATCAGTTAACAAACAAAAACAAAGCACAACAACAAAAACATTCTCCTGGGAAGAATTCCTTTTCCCTAAACAACTTTTTCTTAAATATCAGATTCAGACCTGTAAGATCAACTGTTTTCTTTGTCATCTCATCTTCCTTTTTCTATACACAGTTCAGTTGACGCTATAACCCCAAAACACCAAGAATTTTGGGAGACATTCTCTTTATATACACCTGAGGTCAAAGCTAACTGCTCTAATCTAGTTTACTACTAAATCCTCCCTACAGTTTAATGTTAGTACTAAGCACACAATTTAAAATTTAATTACCAGTGTATGCTGCCTAATAATATTAATAGTTTCTAAGCACCTCATTACTTAAGAGTTAGTTTTATCTCTCCAACAAAACTGGAAGCTCAGGGACCATTTCCTTTGCTTTCCTGTATTTTCTACATCCTAATGCAGTGTAAGACACAAAAAAAGCTCCTTTTAAAAACTTAAATCAGGGATGGCAAAAAGAAAAAATTTTAAAAAAATAAAAGAAAAAATAAAAACTTAAATCAGGCCGGGTGTGGTGGCTCATGCCT